AGAGAAGAATCCAAAATTTTCAGTCTCCCTCAAGATAGGCAAGCAAAAAAAGCTGAGCTGTTCTGCTATAGAAATAGACTCAGGGAAGTGCTGGACAAGGAAGGAAAATGTGTCAGTTGAACTGTGTTCAAGGCCATCTGAAAAGTCCACGGTCTGCCCTCATCTCCAGAGGAGATGCCAAAGCAAGCCTAGCCAGGAAGTGGAGAGAGAGGGGAAAGGGTATCTGACGCAGGCCTTCTAACAGCAGGTGAAAAAGGTGTTTAAAAAGTCTGTTAAAGATGAATTTGCTGCAAAATGGGAATAAGAGCTGCAGCCCCTCATGATTTATCCTGAAATTAGAATTGGCGCGTCTACTTTTGGAAGAAACTATGCCATCAGAACTTAAAAGAACAAACATTTTCAGGCTCCCCTAAAAACTTTGTTCCTAACAAAACAAGGGCTATAGACTATAGTTCAGTTTAGTGACCACTCTGGCTTACTTCATCTTCCTTTGTAATGTCAATGTTTCAATGAATCTGTGGTGATTACAGGGCTGTTGCATAATAGCTCGAGTGCTGCATGTGACCTGGTCTGCAAAATGAAGCTTTGTATGTAAGTTTACTATACTGATCTGATCTAATGAAATGCTGATGGGGAAAAAACAAGCAGAGCAGCAAGTTGTTCAAGCAAACTCTCCCCTGTCCCCCCTTCCCTGCCCCCAAAAAAGGTGCCCTGGAAGAGGGGAGGGGGGGGAGCTGCAGAAATAACAAGATGTTTATGTACTTTTACTTCTCAGCCAGACCTGACATAACTGTTTTGCCAGCTTTTGCCCTAAAAATTATGAAGATCTTAACTGTCTTTTTCAGAAGGGTGTGTCAGGGGAAACAGCTCCTCAGGAGGGGGTTCGTTGATCAGAAGAACATGCAGATAGAGGATCTTCAGAAGAAATCTGAAGAAACTGAGCACACTATAGTAAAATTAAGGTGATGGCAGAAGTCAAGTATGAGGCCGGGCCTGTGTTTAGACTGACTTACTATTTTAAAATCTGGAGGTTGTTTGCATAATACTTTGTTACAAAAACTGTTTGGTTACTGGATCTTGCTGTTGTTGCTTCTGGGGGGAACCAAAGTACAGACAGTGAAGATAATTTTATGGTTGCTTGTAACTACTGCCAAGTCAGAGAGCAGGAAACTTGCATGATGGTAATATGAGGTATCAAAACGGGCCAGGAAAGGTGAGTGATGTTAGCTCAGCACCTTCCAGTGCCTCTGTACAGCTTCTGTGTATTGTTTGTATGTGTTATGTTGTTAAAATGCCTCCCTTTTTTTGCCTCTTGCATAAGTGAAGTGATTTTTGATTACAGAGGGTTGGTTAAAATGTCCAAGTCTCCAGCGTGATGAAAACTTTTAGGAAAGCGTTTGCCACAACTAAGCCCTGCGGTGCCCCTTTTTGTTCCTGCTTTAGAGGAGTGTGCAAAAGTGTAAGTAGATATTTCTGCTTTGATTGTTGGTCCAGTTGCCTGAAGGGCAAGTGCTGACTTCTGTCTTGTTCCTGGATCCCCCTGACTGGGTTTGAAACATGAGACAGTAGGGTTGTGTTCCACCCTAGTGCATGCTTGGTTAGTTTTCTGTCTCATGCTCCCTATATTTAGCGAGAGCTTGATGTCAAAAGTATAAGGCTTCCATTGAGGCTTCTCACACCAACTGCACTCCTTCCGCTTGTCTTTGAGGTGATTGGAGAAAATGTGCTTCTGATCTTTATCCTTCCTGGCCCTCTCCTGTTACAGAGGGTAACGTCACCAGAGCTCTGAGCGCAGAGAAAAAAGCAAGAGATACCAAGGGCGAAATACTATTCCCATTGAAATCATTGAGAAAATTCCTGTTGACTGCAGGAGGTCCTAGGTTTCACTCAGCCTGTTCTTTTCATAGGAAGAATGCTATTCATCCAGGATTAGTTCTTCTGCTATTGGTTACATATTGGAATTGCTACTGTACTTTAAAAAAGGCTTTTTCTTAATCATCTTCCTTCAAGCGGAGAAGTGTTGGTGCTCTCTGAATAAACGCACTTTGGTTGCCCAAGTATAAGACAAGGGTAAATCATGATTTATAAAATGCATCATTGTAAGGACTAGAAGGTTAGTTATCCTAAAGATGACAAACCACAAAGCATTAGACCCACAAAGGTCATAATTTAGAATAGTTAAGCAAAGTAAGTTTATATATTAGTACCACAGATACAGGCTTCTGCATATAACAGGGATGGTGTTTGGGTCATAACGTATCCTTCAACTTGCAACAGTGTCTGTAGCATGGTAAAAACACAAGCCAGAGATGGCTGAACATAGCAATTGCAATGAGGGAGAAATACATACTGGGTAGAATCTGATATTAGTTGTAGTAACTTTGGAAGATAGCAGTGTGTTTGGCAACACAGCAGATGAAGTTGCAGTTTGCAGGTTTCTCAGCATTTTAAGTAACTGCAGTATTTCTTCCTCTACTTGTTCCAGAGCTGTGCTTCTGTGCTGCTGTTGTGCAGTTAAAAAACCTCTTGCTTTTACTTTTTCCCAACTTCTCTCGCATTTGTATTTATCTAGAAATAATTTAATAAATGTTCCCTAATTTTAAGAACTAGTTGCCTTGCTGTTTATCCTTTTCTGTTGGTGAAGCTACCCCATGGCATGCTGGGGCCTGGGTAGGAAAGAGACAGCCACTTGTACTTTGATATTTATATTTTTATGGAGGAAATGAGGCATCATCCTGGTGTGTCCCAACAGCAATGGACATTGGATTTCAAAGTAGCTGGGAGAAGTGCTTGGGGGTACTGTTGAGCAAAATGGTAGAATTGCCTTGGAAAATGTAATTTAAACAACAGCCACCTTGGGTAGCGTATACAGCCAGTTCTACCTTTCTAAGTTAGGGGTAGGCTCCAGCAGAAGGTGGTTTGTCCTGAATTTCCTGTGCTGCCAGTTTGAAGGAACTTCTGTGTTTTTTTTTTTCTTTTTTGGGGAGATTTGTGGTTCTTCTGAATTTCCTTGTGATTATTTCTAATAGTTGGGTGTGTTAAGTAGATGATGCATTGCTTTCCCTTAGGGATAGCTGGGTTGCCTCTGACTCTCATCAGACTTTCTCTACTTAAATTTGTCTTTAGACGTCTGCATCACCCAGCTATTTTCTTTTTTTTGTCAACCTTTGCTCTGGCCATACTTGGTAAGTCCATTGAGCATCTGATCACCCTGTCCCCTTTCATTTGCCTTTTCTTCTTTCTTCTCCTTATTAACCTATATTCTTCCTGTTTCTGTTCCTTTTTAACATCAGACATTGATTGCTTTCTCTAGTCTCTGCAGTAATGCCTTGAAATGTTCTTTTTCTACTAAGCCTCTTAAATAGAACCTGTAGTCAGGGGAAAGAATGAAAAGCTTATTGCACCCATGGCAGCCTATTAAAAGGGAGACATGGCAACCCCTTCAGTTGGCCCAATTCAGCAGCTTGTGGATGCACTTGGGAAATGGTTTGTTGTGAGGGCTTGCAGCCTGCAGTGTAACAGTGGGGGCAGGCAGCAGGGGCTGGCAGAAACCTCCTAAGCCAGTTTTGCTGCAGAAGTTTGTCAAGAAACTATTCCTCAAAGAAGATATGCAGCTGCTCTAAACATAAATCTTAGCTTAACTTGCCTAAGTAGTTGTCTTCGTTAGAGGGAGTTCCAATACTGAGAAAGCTTGTGGAACAATTACACACATAAAATGTTGCAGATACTGCTTTTCTCAATTAGAAAAGGAAATAAGGAAATTATGAGTTTTCCTTCTTTTTTTTTTTCCGCTTATGGTTTTGTGGTTAGGTTGTTACAGTTTATGACTCATCTCAGATTTACTAAATGTAACAAATGAGATCAGTAAGTTCAGGGGGGTATATAACTACCACTTAGTGCACATATCCCTGTAATTCTTTCCTTATGACTGTTATTGCTTAATCTGAGACCTTTAGGTTTGCTTGAATTGCAGAAAGAAGGAATCCTGCAAAAAGAATTGAGCCATAGTAGCCTGAGGGCACTGTTGATTGATAGGATAATCATTTGTTTAGCAGTGATATTGATTATACTGATTGTCTAGCTAACTTCAGACAGAAGTCCAAGTATGACCTTTTCCATTTTGAGAGGTGGGCAGTAGCCTGTCTTCTCTCAAGGCAGAGATTTATGAACAGAATATATGGGGTAACATCATAAATAGTTGCATTTGCACAGGTGTGAAGGTCTGAGTTGTTGTGCAGAGTATCGCCCTGTAGCTGGGAGAAGGGAGAAGAAAGTTGAGAGCTTATTGCTGACTCTAATGCTGAAGAAAGTGTTCTTACGGGATTATACTTTGACATTTGGACTGCATTTTCTTTTGGTCAGTTTGTAGAGTTGAAAGTCCTCTTCCCTTGCTTCTGTGAATGTCATTTACACACAGGACAATGTTACAGGTTAATCCCTATAGACAAATAGGAAATGATGTAATTTTTTGTCTTTCACTGGAATCTGAAGGGTCTAAAGCTGTGGAATGGAGAAGCTTTTGTGTCCAGAAAGCACAGGGTCCAGAGAAGACCACCCCCCCCCACACACACACACACAATAACTCTCAGAAGTGGAATTATTGATATCCTTTCTGTGGTGCTTTCAGAACTAAGTAGAGCAGCATCAGTACTGTGCTCTAGGAGAGGGCTGTACTAATAAAATAAGGAATCTCAGTCATCAGAGTACCTTTTTTATTTGCTTGTGACCAATGCTGAGTTATTTTCCGGCTAGCTGATTCCTAGATCTCTTTTTGGCAGGTTGCTGTTTGCTGTTCCCCTCAGATAGTTCCAATGAGGAAATTGGGCATAGTACTTGATCTCCTGTTTCAGCAATGTGAGAGGGGTGACTGATTTTCTTTGCAATAGCGTATGTGTTCATACATGCAGTACGTACGAGGAGAAGAGTTGTATTTTACGTACTTACTCACCCTAAAATCGATGGATCGCTTCAAAATACCTTTTCTGTTTGTTCTTTTGCAGGTGTAACAAGTAGCACTGAATGCTCCTGTGGACGTAATCACTTTACTTGTGCTGTCAGCGCTTTTGGTGAATGTACGTGCATCCCTGCTCAGTGGCAATGTGATGGAGACAACGACTGTGGAGACCACAGTGATGAAGATGGCTGCAGTAAGAAAACCGTTCTTGATGTGTGTTTGTGAAAGCTAATTGTCTTCACTTTCCTCGGCAGATACTTCTCTCTGTTTTACAGGCCCATCCAAGTTTTTGTATGACACATATAAGACTACAGATAGCATACTTTAAACTGACTCCTGTACTACTCCTTTGTCTAACACTGTGTCCACTCACACAAGGCAAAGTGAAAGCCTCTCTCTGCCTTTGGCAGCTTTTAAAAAAATGTTTATAAAGGGTGTCTGTGCTTTAGAAGGAGAAGAGAAAGAGTGAGAGAAGTATCTCTTTTTTCCTCTCTTGCAAAAGTGGTATCTGCACACCAGGTTATATAGCTCTGCTACAAGTAATAATAGAATAACTAAACAATGTGAATAATTGTATTCAGGACTGTGGGTGTCTTCCCTCTTAAGGAACATTCTGGTTTCTATCCTGGCTGCCATGTGAAGGGAGAGGAAGGTGAGCACTGTAATTGACCTTCATTCGTTTGGATCTCCTGGGAGAGGTTGTCTCGCAACAGATGCCAGCATCTATGTAGCTGAGCCCACCTAGATGAGAACTGACGAAAAGTGGCTCTCAGTAGGTTTAGCACAATGTAAATGAATTGGAACAGAAAACCCCTTCCCCTGGGGCCATGAGTAAATTGCTTTCTTCCCTTATCTCTTTGGATTCCCCAGATATAGATGGAATTAAAGGGTGGTAAAAAGGCTCGATTTCATGAAACTCCTTTCCTGAACGTTTCCCTAGAGCCAAAGATTTCAGATTCCTATCAGTGGACGTGGTAGAGGAATTTATTTTCCTCTGTTGGATGTGTCCCTAACCTTCCATGGTTTCCACTCTTGCCTGCTGTGGGAAAAGGAGTTTTCCTTATCTTTGGAATACTGTTTTTGGGAGTCTGCTCTTCCTTAAGTGTGAGAGAACTTAGCCTAGCTATAGGGGAACTTATTTCCATTTTACTTCTTTTTTTCTTACAATTTTGCATAAAATACTTAGAAACATGGAAAAAGTTGGAGGGGAAATTGGTTCTTGAAAATAGATCACCAGCAAGCTGAGGAGATCAGTGTTCTGGTATAAAGATGACTAGTGAAAGGATTACCTGGGAAGAAAGGTGGAGAAATCGAGAGGTTAGTTGGAGAAATCGAGAACAAAGGGAACGTGGAATAGGAGGAAGAAAACCTGCATGTTTGTATCTCATGGAGGAAAGTGCAAATTTTAAGAACTTTGTATGCTCGAGCAATCACAGTGGAGGATCTGGGAACTGAAGAAATAGTATTAAAACCTTAGAAGAGCAGGGGAGGAGAGGCTATACTCAACTACTCATACTGAAGAAGTTCAGCAGTAATATGGAGATGGGGGGGAAAGAGGGGGTGTCCAGTAACTAAACTCATTTTGCTGGCATTTTACTGAGCAGAGAGGAAGATTGTTTTGCTTTGTTTTGTTTGTTTGTAAGTCATGCTTCACAAATGTACCGGAACTCTGGGAAGGAGTGAGTGACTATGCAGAGAAGAGATACCCAGCTGATAAGGTCTACTTTGTATTTCAACAAAACCCATCACCAAAGGTTCTTAAACTAAGTGGCCATGGGGAAGGGGATGCCCTTCCGTAGGAAAATAACCTGTTAAAAGACAGGGCATGGAAACTAAGAATAAATAGCCAGTTCTTACAGTGGAGGAGATCATCAGTGGACTCATGCAGGAGTTTCTGCTCCTGGACTGTTCAATTTCTTTATTCCTTTTCTTGAATTACTCATAGTGTGATGACAGCATTTACTGACAATACTAAGTTTTTCAGTGTAGTAAGGAAGAGAGTTAAAAATTGCATTTCGTCTGTCAGTGAAGTTAACTGTAAAATTATGCATGGGGAAGGGTAGAGAAAGGGGACAGTGCTAGCATTATCCATAATGGTGAGCAAAGTACTACCCCATCAGAATAGGATCTTGGGTTTTTAAATGATCATGTCATGAAAACAATGGCTTGGTGCTTAATAGTACTCAGAAAAGTAACTCGAATGTTGGTAATCCTTAGGAAGGGACAAGAGGAAAAAAGTCCCTGTTGTGCATGGCCTCTTAAATATTGTGTGAAGTTCTGATTTATCTTCTCCACCTGTCGTATCTCTTAAAAGAAGAATTGGAAAAGGTTTATCAGAGGACAGTCTAATATATTCATCGCCTTCCCTGCTAAGTACAATTGATCTGACAGATGTACTTCAGCCTGGAAGTGTGTAAGCTGAAGAGGTGGTTATGGTACAGTGCTGTGGAGTGATTCGAGATTGACTGCTGTTACCCCAGTGAAAGAACCAGTGGCGTGCAACTAGCAGGGGAGGGTTCAGAACTAACAGGAGATACACCTCTCATACAATATGTGCTTAAGCCATGGATCTCCTTGCCACAAAAGAATTGATGCTGAAATCTCACACAATCTCAAAAGGCAACCTAGCAAGTTTATGGTAGAAAAATCCATTGATGCCACCTCTTGTTTAGACAGTCTTTGAGTCACAAATAGATGGAAATTCTGAGTCTTCTGAGGAAGTACCACTGCATGTGTGCTATGTTCTTGCACTCTTCTTTTGACATCTGCTGTTGCATCCTTGTCTGTCTCCATGGCCTGGGCTGGGTAGACCTTTGGTCTTGCACAGAAAAGCTGTGGTTATGGTTTATCCCTAATACGTTAGGGAAATGTGACCCACATAGATCTGAATGGAAGCTGTGCAAACTAGGGAGCAGTAATGAACTGTGATCAATCTGCTGACTCTCCGTGCGGCTGGAGGCTGAAAAGTATATAAGGCAGAGGCAGACAGCCAAGTGAGCCAGAGAATGTAGGAACTGGGTGCAACTTGTGCGTTCATTTAATTTACATTTTCCAACAAGGGAGAGGGAGAGAATGAGTCTGAAGTGAGGGGAGCTGTCTAGAAAACAGTAAGTGGGAGATGGGAATATTTAGACCTCTTATTCAGAATACCACTTGTGATTTAGGTCTCTGCAATTTAGAAAGAGAGGCAAGCTAGAGTGTGCAGAGGACAGCAGAATTGGCAGGATGAGAGGGAAGATAGAGCTAAATTTATACAGAGTAGAAAAGTGACTCATGGGGAGGGACTGGAATAGGAGCTGCATTTTTAAAGACTGCAGTGTAGAAGGTAAATACAAGTAAGAGATTTTTTCAGCTGACGACCAGAATTGCTCAGAGTATAATACAGTGGAGAGAAAAAAGGAGAAATAAAAGTTAAGCAATGAGGCTAATGACTTTAGAGAAATACCAAATGCATGGTTTCAGTGCACACGTGCAAGACTGCAGTGAAGGGACCCTAAGAACACTTACTCCACTAAGCCTGCTAAGTCTTGCCCTGAGTAGCTGCTCAATATGTAATCCTGATATATGATATTGTTAGCTTGTAAGAACTAGACTGACCCTACAGTGTAGGCTCCTAGTGGTTGCCTTTGCTATTTCCTACCTTGCCTGGTCATTGTGGTCCTGAAACACTTGGCTATAGCAGCTCACGTGCTAAATCCCTCTTTTTGGCTTGACCTACTGGCGCCATGTCAAGCTATACACTTTTGAAGGGTTGATTTTCTTTTGTATCTGTTTGCTGACTGTGCCAGCATAAAGAAGACAGCAAGAACGTTCTTTTGGTGGGATGAGACCCCTTGGAAAAGCAGCCCAAACTTGAATCAATTCAAGCCTCTCATGAAAGAGCACTGGAAATAGCATACAAGAATATTCAGTTCATAGATTTTTCCGTAGGCCATCTAGCTGTGACACGCCTATAGCGTTCTAGTTGAAGTGAGATTTTTGGCCTCCTCCTTTGTTTGGACATGATCTATTTTCTGTTTATTGACTTAAACTGGGTCTGAAATTGTTGAGTTTTCTGGTTCTTATTGACACAAATATTAAGCTAAAGGAACTGGGGTTGTTGTGAGGAGGTCACTCTGCAGCCCCCACGGACATTAAAGTTAGACCTTAGTGAGGTTCCTCAAAAACTGTGGGGCTAGTTTTCATGCTGGAGTGAGCCAAATGGTTTGTTCTGACTCATGAATCTTAGTTCATGCAACTACTTGTATGGACTCTTCTGAGACGATAAAGCTATGAGCAGTGTTTTTCAGCAATGTGTACAAGTACAACTCTTGAGTTTTAAGGATAGGAGTTAGAATATCATTAAGTAGGTGTCTCTGATCAGGAGAATGAACCTAAGTGATGCAAGGGATCCCGTGTTTCCACTGGTCTTCTGCAGGCTAGTCTTACACTTACAGGAATACAAGAATTTACAGCAATTTGTTTTTTCTTCTGTGACTGCTTAGACTTTCCAGAGAAATAAAGCTGTGGCCATTCTTGTTTTCAGCTCTGCTTTGCCTTTGGTGTATCAGCTCACATGTATACTGATGGTAAAGGCAAGGGATGAGTTCCTGAGGGAGTTATGTCTACTTCCGTGGGGAAGGGAGTTGGGGATGGGAGAACTGTGGACTGCTGAACTCCTATTAAAGCAAGGACGTGAAGTCCAGTGGGGTAGGAAATGTGAAAATTACTTTAGCAATTCAAGATTGAGTCTTATATCTGTGTCTAAGCAGCAATGCATATAGGCTTGACTGGTTGATTTGCAGTCTACTAAACTCTACATTAATGCAGTTTGAAAGCCTTGAACTGATAACTTGTTTCAGTGAAAGAACGGTAGAAGGCTTGAAATGAATTGTGTGCAAGAAAGCAAGATAATCAGCAATGAGAGGGGTCGCACCCACCAAAAACAGGAGTGGAGACGGGAAATGTTTTTTTCCTTTTGAGAGGGATTTTCAGTTTTGAGCTGAAACATTGGAATTTGTTTTATGATTTACCACACAAATAAAAAACCTTTGACAATTTGAGTCAGGTGCACTAAGTTTGTCTCAGCTGTTACCTTTTCTGCTCATGCCAGTCTGACTGACTTCCCTGCGAATGTTCAACTTCTATTGGAGTCCTCGGATTGTCCAACTCTCATGAGATTTTCCTATAGGTTTTGGGGGAACCCTGCCTCTG